AGTGACACCCCTGTGTCCCGCTCGCCGCTGTGCTGCGGCTGGCTTTGGCCACACTGGACCTCTGCACGCAGCAGGGGCGAGTCCAGTAGCGCCTGTTGCAGCGCAGCGTCCGGGCGCCCCGGTCCCTTGCTGGGCAGGGAGGTTTGGCTTGCAGTGAGCTCACCTGGCGAACGTTTTGGTGTGAACATCAAGGAAAAGCTGCCTCTGAAAGCCAGGAGCCCGACATCTGGGGTCTGACTGGGGTCCATAAGGCAGAAGGGGAGGGGAGATGGCCAAACGTCCACGTTGATGCTCTCTGCGTTGTGCAGGAGCGCAGCAGCTCCCAGGCTCCGTTACACAGCGCCCGCGGAGGGCTGGGCAGGTTTTTGTGAGCTGGCTAGAACACCTTTGGCCTGAGTAGCACAGAGCTGCTGATGCACCTGTACTCTTGGTGCAGGTTTCTAACGGGCAGTTTAATTAATGTAGGCCAGCGCGACGCAGATCCTCGTCCCCTCTCTCCCTCTTTGCCATCCTCGTGTATGTAGGGCAAGGCCTCTCTGTGCGCCTCGTAAGGCACGCACCAGCGCACGGCCCTGGGCTCGCTGGAGATGCTAATGCAATTATCGTGCTATTACTGAGTTTCCTTCATCGCCTCTTGTGAAGGACATGTCTGAAATCCTTTCTGAGCATTCTATTAAAAGCCATCAGTAAATTCAGCGTTATTCCAGGAACGATAGCAATTAAATCATCTGCATCAGCCCCAAAAGCGGATGTCAGTGGAGCGGCTTTTGAGTGGATCTTTCTGGCTGGTTTCAGAAAGTCTCGCTGCATCTGACGGGGGCCAGGCGCCGACCTCGATCGTGCTGCCAGCCATCCAGAGCAGCTCTGCGGAGCTCCTGGCATTTAAACAGTGGTAGAACCAAAACCAGACTTTGGGCCAAAGATGTGTTGAAGGCAATTTGTATCACACACAGGACTTTTATTTGCCTGTGGATCTGGTGTGTATCTGTTATTTATTGCTAGCATTAGGAGAGCAAAGAAATCCAGAGAAGGGGGGGAAAAAAAGCTGGCAGATCTTTAAGGAAGTGGTCCACAGAGCGCAGGAGCTATCGATCCCTAGGTGTAAGAAATCAAGCAAAGAAGGGAAGAGACCAGCGTGGTTGAGACAGGAGATGCTGGTCAAGCTAAGGAGGAAGAGGGAACTGCACAGGCAGTGGAAGCAGGGACAGGCATCCTGGGAAGAGTATAGGGAAGTGGTCCGGTTGTGTAGGAATGGGGTCAGGGAGGCGAAGGCGCAGCTGGAGCTTAACTTGGCTAGGGATGCAAAGAATAATAAAAAGGGATTCTACAGGTATATCAGCCGGAAAAGGAAGGTTAAAGAGAGTGTACCCCCGCTGATAAGCGAGACCGGCAGGCTGGTAACAGCAGATGAGGAGAAGGCTGAGGTACTCAACAACTTTTTTGCCTCAGTCTTCACTGGCAGCCTCTCTCCTCACCCCTCTCGAGTTGATGGATGGCATGAGGAGGCCTGGGAGGGCAAAACCCCTCCTGCTGTAGGAGAAGACCAGGTTCGTGACCACCTGAGGAACCTGAATACACAGAAGTCCATGGGACCTGATGAGATGCATCCCAGAGTCCTGAGGGAATTGGCCGATGTAGTCGCTAAGCCACTCTCCATAATATTTGAAAAGTCATGGCAGTCAGGTGAAGTCCCTGGTGACTGGAAGAAGGGCAACGTTGTGTCCCTGCTGACTGCAGGGGGGTTGGACTCGATGACCTCTAGTGGTCCCCTCCAACCCAAAACATTCTATGATTCTATGATTCTATGAAAAAAAGTGGCAGATAATTGAGGCTGCTTTTTGCTTCCTACCAGTGCATCTGAGCTGTTTTCAGTTGTTAGGTTTCTCATTTGCACTGAAGTTTTACTGTGACAGGGAATTGCCCACGGGTTGTTCAGTTCTTTGTGCAATTTTCAAGGCATTTCTCACATCCGTGCAGTGACTGGAGCGCGGGGTGCGCGGTGTCCCCTCGGCAGCCCTGGCACCGGCATCAGGAGCGATGTCTTTCTGGAGGAGCCGGGGACACCGTGTACCTCACTTGCCCCCGGTGCAGCACGGGACCGCGTTAACAGACTCTCCCGCGGCAGGGTGCCAGCAGCCAAAGCGCTTTGCCAAGCATGAGTACGAGGATCGGTTGTCCTTGGGGGCACGTGGGTTTTTGGAGGAGCAGAGGAGGCCTCGTGGCCCGTGTTAGCTCTGTGATCTCTGCCATCAAGTGAGCAAAAGGGAATAACACACCTGCTTCCCTCCTCCATGCCTGCGGGTAGGGTTTCTCCTCTCCCTGAACGCTTGCCAGCGCAGCTGAGCTGGCTCGGGAGCTGCCGTAATTCACTGCTATCTTGCCAGGCCAGCAGCAAATTGCTAGCTCACCCTTCTCCCACCTGTAGCGAGGGGAGAGCAGGCAGGGAATGGTGTTTCATCCATCTTCCCAGGGAATGGTGTTTCATCCATCTTCCCAGGCCTGCTTCCCCGAAGGGGATGCTCTGTAGTGCTGTAGGCGGTGTCAGCCAGGAATTTGGGGCCAGTTTCCTTGCAGGGCTGGCTGAGAGGTGCAATGCTGAAGGACCAGCCGAAAGGAATGGGGAAAACGGGGGGGGGCGGGGTAGCAGTCTTCATGCAAGCGGGCCCCTCACCTCCCAAAGGGGCTGACATGGGCTTAGACCCGCCAGGGTAACTCTGCCTGTTAGTTACAGCCCAGCCCTGGTGCTTGTCTCCCTGCCTGCTCCCTGCCAGGGGAAGAGCCCTCCCTGCCTCAGCTGGGTGCCCTGTCCAGGCAGGGTATGCCTGCACCTCGGGGTGCTTCACCTCCTCTTTGCATCATCAGGTTCACCCAAGTCCCATACCCGGTCTCAGTCTCAGTCTGGATGTTAGGACAGTGACACATTTACCGCATTTGACTAAAAAAATGAGAAATCGGGTGTTTAGTAACCTCTCCGCTGTTGCAGAGCTGCTTGGGGAGCTCTTCTAGCCCGCGGTGCCCGGGGAGGTGTCTGCTGTTGGAATCAAAAGGAGCTGCAGGGACTGCCCTGGCATCTCCACGGCAAGGCCTTCGCCCTTGGTGCTGCTTGGCTCTGCGGCGTGCTGCCGGGCATCCCATCCCCGGCCAAGTGGGAGCGCCTTTCGCCTGGCTGTATCCCGGGACATGGCATGGCACTGGAACACCGGGCTCCGACCTCCGGTGCCCAGGCAGGGGCTGAAAACACTGGGTGTATGATTGGGGCATAGCTGGACGAAAGCCGGACCCATCACAGCAGTCGTAGGGGGGAGGTGATTTCCAGAGATTGTAATGAGTGTGTTAAGCTATTTCCCTTTCTCACTTCCATCACTTTCACAAAACGAGTTTAATGAAGAGCTATTCTCTGCTTACAAAATGGTGCTGCACATGCTAGATGGATTCCTCTGACCTTTCAGTGTGCTTTACTTGAATTGGCTGCCTCTGCGTGTTCTCCACTCGCTGCCTCGAACGGGAAAGACAGCTGAAATACCGACTCTTACAGAAAATACTATGGCATATTGCCTTCTTTCCACCAGTCACCGGTATTCTTCCCGAAGCCTTAGCTATTTATTATTGGTGGTGTTATTTGTGTTCTTGTGTCTGGGAGCTCTGCATAATGTTTGTGGAAAGAGAAGCGTCCTGTATCCTTGGTGCTGTTGTGGTAGAAATCAGTGTTGTCTCTGGTGTGATGAAGGGAAGAAGTAGGAGATGTCTGGACATGTCTGAAGGACAAACCCAAAGCCCCTCCATGGCCGAGATCCCACCGGGAAGCAGGACAGGTGAGAGCAGTCAGCCAAAACAATTTGGCCATGACACAGAATTCAGGCAAGGGAAAGTTTTCAGGCTCAGTAATCAAGGAGATGCTGGAGCAGAAAGCGATAACGGAGGCTCAAGTCAGATGCTGGCGCAGGAAAAGATTTGGATCCTCCTTCCCAGCTTCCTGTAATTCCCAGACAGCTCTCCGGATGACATTCATTATTTGTGTTATCTTTGCACCTAATGGACTGAGTCAGGGGCCAGGGTGCTGCATAAGCAAAAAAGAAAGCTCTCCCTTTTCCAAGGGAACTTAAATTCCAGCCGTGAGGTGGGAGAGAGCACCGATATGAACGCTAGGGAAGGGGGAGGATGAGCGAACAGCGAGGCTGCAGCCTAGGGAATGGTATCGGCGTAACCGTGGCCATCAGTCATCCTTGCAAAGGGAGGAGGGAGTGCAAAGAGATAATGAGGTAGGTTTGTGGGTGTTTACAAGGATCATGATAATATTTTGTGACAACGACAGAACAGAAGATGACACATTAAGGTAATGTTTGGGCACCGGCTACCGTGAAAACGGTGTGAGAAGTTTTAAGTCTGCAAAATTTACAGTACTACCCAAATGAACTGCTTTGCACAGGAGTCCTGCTTGCCCTCGGTAACCAGGGCACCGCCACCTGCAGTGAAATGAAGACAGATTTAAAGCAACGCTGGAAAACCCCCAGCCTACCTCTGGCTCGCAGAGGGTCCAGGTCGGGGACGGAGCACTGGGGACTGCCATCAGGCTGGGAAGAGCACGGGCAAGCAGAGGCCGGATCTGTGCTCGGCAGAACACTAATGAAGTATTTGGGATGTGTCTTTTGTTCACGGAAGTGTTAGCACGGTCGTGCAAAATGTACAGATGACACCAAAGCGGGTGAGAGTGTGAATGTCCCTGCTGAATCCCGATTTCCTGGATGGCAGCGGAGGATCTGCAGCTCTCTGGCAGAGAGGTATCTGACAGCTAGCTATCACATTTTTCAAGGGCTTATTCCTAGCTGTTTAATACTTCATGTGCTCTCTTGGGGAGGGAGGAGAGAAGAACGGAGGAGTATATTTGGCACAGCAGGGAAGTGGACTCGGGTCTTTTCCATCCCTTAGTGCTGTGCTGTTGCAGAGGGAGAGAAAGCCTCCTTCCACAGCGGTACTAATCCTCCTCCACAGCAAGCTGAACGTTTTGAACTTGAACAACTCCTCTCATTTTTCCCCCATGTGATTGTGAGTCAGGCTGAGCTTCTCTATTCTTCTCCATAATTGAGTAGGAGATTATTTTGACTGGAAATAACCAGACACAGGTATCATGGGCTGTGAATGCCTCCACGCCACTTGCTGAAAGTTCTGTAGCCTTCTGCAAAGGGAGCTGGTCTTTAAAGACTTGGCTCAATGGAGAGAGAAGAAAAGCAGAGAGGGAAGAATCGCTCCTTCCTGCTCGCTTCTGTCGCTGGCTCTGCTAAACTTAACCTGCTGGATTGTTGGTGACACGCTGTTCTTCAGAAGCAGCTCTTTTGTGGAAGAGCCCCCCTGTGACACAGGGAATAGCCGCAGTGAGTCAGGAAATATCCCTGACATGATGGCTTTCTCCAGGAGCTTGTAGCTGCGATTCCAGTCTCACGGACACACCAAGAAAGTTAGGAAAAGCCAGTCCTCTCAGATCCCCCAGGGGAACCTCCCCAGGCACAGATTTTCCTGTTCCTTCTCTGCCTTACTCCTTAGTTCTCTCTCTGGGGATACATCTGCATGGGTTGCACTTCCCACCCCTCTGCCCTGGAGGCAGGGAGTGACCGGAGGAGCGCAGGGCAAGGCAGAAGCGACGCAGTGTGAGGCCGTGCCGGGGCATGCGGATGCAGCAGATGCAGCATGAGGCCGTGCTGGGGCATGCGGATGCAGCAGATGCAGCGTGAGGCCGTGCCGGGGCACATGGCTGCAGCGGACACCGCGTGAGGCCATGCCCGGGCTCTGGAATGGGCTGCCCAGGGAGGTGGT